AGGGAGGGGGCCAGTCGGCGGGAGAACTACGCCAAACGCTTGGCGTCATTAATTGTTGGGCCGGCCAACAAGGATAATCGTTCAGCGTAGGGCGAGGTGTCAAGACCATAACACGCTGCGAGATGCGAAGAGGAAACCAGGCGGAGCCGGGCGGAGCGGGGCGGGGGAGCAGCCGAGCCGCGGAGCACGCCAACGGCACTGCCAGCCTGCCCGTTGGGGGGATGTTGACGCCAGCCGTGCAAGGGCCGATTTTCACGCCCACGCCTGCTCTGAGGCGATCCCGCCCCCGGGAATCTGAGCGAGGTTAACAGAATCATGGCCAGATGAAGCGCTTGGACCGTGGCGAACCTAGGAGGGCAATGCATCCTCGGTGGCCCCCCCCCCCCCCCCCGGTCACCACAGAGAGCACCCTTCTTGGGCCTCATTCGCACGCACGCACGCACGCACGCACGCACGCGCGCGCGCCCCCTCCCCATATGTCTGCCTCCTTCACGACGGACGGCCCGCCAGACACCCACGCCTCGAGTCCCCGCCAGGCTCCGGGCCCCGGGGTGGTCGAGCCCAGCCCCGAGTCCACCCTGTCGGACTTCGATTCGGACTTCGCCCCCTCCACCTCGGAGCTGTTGCCCCTGAGCACGGAGGAGAGCGCCAGCCCGCCAGGGGCAGCCGGCCCGGCGGCAGTCGCCACAGTGACAAGTCCGCCGGGAGCATCTGGCCCGGGGCCACAGGCCGCCGGGCCGATCCCAGCACTGCCAGGCGCCGATGCTCGCGCGCGGTCCGTCTCGCTGTCGGGCCTCGGTGGGGGTGGCGCTGGCGGCGGCCCCCTGCCCTCCAGCCCGGCGGCCCCGGTCACCTCTTTCCAGCCGACCCCGAGCATGCTGCGCTCGGTGCGCGATGAGGCGGTGCTGGCGTCGCTCACCAGCGGCGCCGCCCCGCTTGGCATCGTGCTGAGCCTCCCATCGGTGGACAGCCTGACCCTGAATGTCGACTCGGCGGCCGGCACGGCCGGGCCCGGTGCCGCCACCCTGCCGGAGCCTCGGCTGTCGTCCTCCTACTCCGGGCCATCCTCCGGGCCGGGCTGGCCGGACACCGGGCTGTCGCCACCGTCATCCGGGGCCACCTCGCCGCCGCCAGGCCCGGCTGGCGAGTGGGTGCCCCCCCTGCCGCCGGGCTTGGAGACCGGCCAGCCGCCGGCCGCGGCGGCTCCCCTGGCGGCGCTCATTTCCTCGCCGCTCTTCGAGTCACTTGGGTCCCTGCGGCGGACCTTCGGCACGGTGCTCGGTCCGTCGGGCTCCAACTCCCTGTCCTTCCTGTCCTCCTTGTCGGGGATCTCCGGGCTTGGCGGGTCGTCCCCCGCGCGACACCCCCCCGCCTCCAGCGGTGCCGGCCCCGGGGCCGGCCCCGGGGCCGGCATTGACCCTGCCCTGCGGCGATTCATCGCGGAGTCCAGCGCCGGCTCGGGCGGCGCGGCGGTCGCCGACTCCGGGTGGAATGTGGCCGCCTTGGCATGTGCCCTGCGCGATGTGGCCCACAGCCCGGATTCGGACTTGGACGATGTGGCCCTGGTGTCGGGCTCCGGGGCCGGGGCGGCCGAAATCCGGCGGCGGTTCCCGGTGTGCGCGCGCCTGCGCCTGCGCCGGTATCTGGCCCGGCCGCCGCAATTTCGCTGGTCTAGTCCGGTTGGGGCGGCGCTGGCCGAGCGCCTGCGGCCGGCGGCTGGCCAGTCGACCGCCACGCGCGACCAGCTCTCCGGCGCCCTGGCAGCGCCGCATGTGTCCTGGCTGGTGATCGCCATCGGGGCCGGGCGTCCGAGTGTCGGCTTCTCGCATGCCGGCCCGGCCGAAGGGGTGACCGAGTGTGTGCGCCTGCTGCTGGCCTGCGGGGCCCGGGCTTGCGGGTGTCTGGATGCGCTGCATGCGGCGCCGTCGGTCGGCTTTGCCGGGGCCGGGCTGCTGACCGGGCCGGAGCCCGGCTGCCGGGGGTCCCCGAGCACTGGGCACTCTCACTGGCCGCCGCTCATGGAAAATGCCGTGGCCCTGGGAGCCGCGCTGCGGGCCCTGTCGGATGCGCGCTTCACGCGCACCGGCGGCACCACCGGCCCGGGCTTCAGTCGGTTGGGCCCGGCCCGGCGTGTTTACCGGTCGGTCCTGCGCCTGCGCGCGCGGCTCAAGGAGGGCCTTGCCGCGCTGAATGACCGCACGGTCGCCCCGGACCCGGACACCATCCGGGCCCTGACCTTCGTCGATCCCGAGGGCGAGGCCGACGCGGCCGTGGTCCTGGAGCCGGTCGAGCGCCGGGTCGACGATCTCCTCTGGACCGCCTTCACGCTGATCCGGCACGGCGCCCTCCGGCATGAGAGTCCCTGGTGGCCGGCGCCCGAGGGGTGCGTCGCGCGCATGTTTTTCTCTCTCTCTCTCCCTCTCTCTCCCTCTCTCTCCCTCTCTATCTCTCCCTCTCTCCCTCTCTATCTCTCTCTCTTTCTCTCTCTCTCTTTCTCCCTCTCCCTCCCCCCTCTCTTCCTCTCTCTCTCTCTCCCTCCCCCCTCTCTTCCTCTCTCTCTCTCTCTCCCTCCCCCCTCTCTTCCTCTCTCTCTCTCTCTCCCTCCCCCCTCTCTTCCTCTCCGCCGCCCGCTTCGTTCGATTGACCCTCCGTTCCTCTCATCCGTCCGTGTGTGCATTCTAGGGACCGGTCTGATGACCCGCTGCCGGCGCCCGTGGTCGCGGCCCTGGTGGCCGGGGCCGGCCTGCCGCTGGGGCTTTTCCTGATCTACCACCGGCGGTATGCATATGATGACAGCGCTGCCGGCACCTATCGGGCCCCCTACGCGCTGGAGCCTCCCCCGGGGCCCGGGCTGTCGGAATACGGCACTTCCGAGGAGGTGGCCCGCTGGAATGCCGACCTGACGGCCAGCGGGGAGATTCGCGCCCGATGCGAGGAGGTCCTCCAGACGCTCGGCACGCTGGGCTCCCTGGCGGCGTTGGGGCTGGCGGCATCGGCCGCTCCCGCCGACTCGGGGATGGACCAGTGGCGCAATCGCGTTGAGAGCCTGGTCCTCGGGACGTCGCTGGCCAGTTGTGGCGTGTGCACGGTGTCGGTGGCCGATGCGCCGACATGCCAGCATGGGCATCTGGCCAGCGGGGCGGCCAGCCCGCCGGCACACCGTCCGGCCTCCGGGACCCCCTCCCCCCCGGGGGCCGGGTCCCCCTCGTCGCCATTGCCGGCATCGGGGTCCTTCCCCCGGCAGGGGCTGCCCGAGACGGCCGAGTCACGGCCGAGTCTGTTGTCGGCCAGCCTGCGGGCCGACGCGGCGCCTCGCCCGGTCGACGACACGTGCTGCCCGTGTGCGGCCTTCCTCGAGAAGCTACTTGAGCCGGTGGGGTCGGCCGACTCGGGCGTCGACCCGCCTCTCTGCCAGTCGCTGGTGCCCTTTGCCTCGCCACTTGCCCATGGCCCCGGCGCCGACCTGCCCGAAGATGGGGACTTGTCAGGCGACCAGCAGGCGCCCCTCATCGATGACGGGTGCCAGGGCACCAAGGCGCCGATGACCATGCGCCAGCTCCTGTTGGGGGTTTCCCCGCGACAGGAGTTCTCCCGGCCCACGGGCCCCGTGGCATTGACATCGCGCCAGGAGTATCTGCCCTTGAATCCGGCGGCCGGCCGGCAACTGCTGGGCTTCCAGTCGCGGCAGGTGGACTGGTCGCCGGCCTGGGCCGATCCGGCCGACGAGGTGGCCCTGCTGCTGAGTCGTGTGGCGCTCGGGGTCTTCCCGCTGGACCTGCTCGGGGCCTTGCCGCTGCGATGCGGCTGTCGGCTGCTGGCGACCGAGGGGTCGACGCGCGATGCGCGACCCTCTTCCGGGCTGAGCACCACCCCCGGGTGCGATGCTTGCCAGGGCCCCGGGTCGGCCGGGCATTTGGCGCGCGCCGACCCGCCGGGCCATGCCTTCTCCGATGGCGGCCCTCGGGCTGGTGGCTTGGCCGGGCGCCCCGGGCGGGCCTCCCTCCCGGAGGAGGGCTCCGCTGTGCGGCACGATCCCACCGGCGCCCGCACACTCGGCAGCCCTGCCACGGGAGCCGGGCGCCCGACCACCGGGGCCCGGCCCTACTTCGGGGGCTTCCACCTGGTGGAGGATGCCTCGCCGCGGCCCGACAGCCCGGCCGGGTTTGTGGAGCTGCCCGAGCGCCCGGAGGCCTCGCCGCCCCTGTCGCCCGGGCTGGTGACCGGCCTGTCCGCCGGGCTGGCCGGCGGGCCGGCGGCCGAGCAATTTGCCGAGCCGGTCTCCTCGGACGATGACCTGCCGGGGCCGACGCATGCGCTTGACGATGCACCGGTTGCGGCGGCGGCGGCGGCGGCGGCGGCGGCGGCGGCGGCGGCGGCGCCAGCGGCAGCTGGCTCCCTGACGCAGCCGGCTGGCGAGCCGAGCCCCGCACCTGTGCCTGGCGGCGGTCATGAGGGCGTCGCGGTCGCCGGCGCCGGCGCCGGCGCTGCCACCACCGCGGCCCCCCCGTCGCATGGGTTCTGCCCTGATGTGGACTTCGCCCTGGACGATGTGGACTCCGGGGTGGACATGGTCGTCGAGGCGGGGGACATCGTGGCGGACTTCCTGGACGATGACGACGACGCGGACGACGAGTCGGACGAGTCGGATGCCGACGACCGCGACGAGGTGGACCTGGACCTGGACCTGGACCTGGATGTGGACCTCTTCCATGATGACGAGGAGTTCGCCGTGGTCCAGTGGCCGGACCCCATCGCCGGGGCCGGGGTCCTGCCGGGGCTGTGGCTGTCCGATGCGCCGCCCACCGGGCCGCAGCTGGCCGTCCTGCGGCAGCATGCCTTCCGGCTGAACCAGCAACTCCGGGACCATGTGGCCCTGGTCGAGGCCACCGGGCGGTCCCTGGCCCAGCGCTTCGGCCTGGGCGTGGCCGAGCTCTGGGTCCCGTCCGGCAGCCTGGCGCACCAGGCCCTGCCTGTGGCCTCCTTCTCCACGCGCCTGGCCCATGTGCGTCTGTTGCACCTGCTGTCGTCGGAGTCCCCGGCGGTCGGTGCGGCCTTGGACCCGACCGGGCGCCTGGGCCGCGCGGTGGCGCATCTGCTTTCGTCCCGGCGCATGGCGCGTACATTGGCCGACTTCGAGCCGGTGGGGTTCGTGGCGCCGGCTGCGTCTGCGGCGTCTGCGGCGTCTGCGGCGTCTGCCGCGGCCGCCACGGCCGCCGCGCTGGCCACCACTGGCGGGGGCGCCGCCACCACGGCCGGCCCCATCGCCGGCCCCGGGCCCGGGGGAGCTGTCCTGGCTTCGAATGGCGCGGTGACGGTGGGTGCCGCTGGGCGATCGGCGGCCGCGCCGGCGGGCGACCAGCTGGCCCTGCTCCGGGCAGGTGCCCGGCGCGCGCTGGCCGGTGCCGACACCCTCAGCCCGCCGGTGCGCAATGACCTGCTGGACACCTTCGAGTCGGTCCGGGCCATGTCTTCGCACCTGCATGCCATCGCGGATTTCATCGAGGACAGCCTGCGACTCTTCTCGGTGTCCTTCATGCCCGGCGGCGAGGGGGGCCCCTTTGGGGGGGCCCCGTCGGAGCACGACTCGGCGGCCGTCATGGGCGCCGGCCACCGGTCGGCCGGCGGCGGGCCCCCGGGCGCAGGTACCGGCGCGACGTCCGGCCACCTCGCCGGGTCCGGCCATCATGCGGCAACCGAGCCGGCGGCCCCGCTGGCCACCTATACCCCGGCCCCGGGGGACTCGACGCACCGCCGGGGGGGTCTCAGTGGGCTGGCTTCGTCGGCCATTGTGGCCGCCGGGGCCAGCGAGAGCATTTCCATGCTGCTGTCGGCCCTCGGGTCGCTGGTCGGCGCGGCGGCCGTCACCCCCGGCCCGGCTGGGCTGGCGTACTCCTTCGCCAGCGGGACCTTCCGGATCCGACGCTTCCAGCAGCTGGCCATCCACGCGCGCACCCTGTCCAAGCTGATCCGCGACAGCCAGGCGAGCCTGGCGCGGGCCATGCACCTGGCCGGGGCCGGGGCGCCAGCGCGCCAGGTGGCCGCCCCCCCGGACCCGAGCTCTCGCGCGCGCCTGGCCCGCGAGTCGTCCCTGGTAATCACCGACCCGGGGCTGGGGCTTCTCCTGCAGGTGGTCGAGCGCGCGCTGCACCACTCGCCCACGTACCTGGCCACGGCCGACACCGGGGCCGGCCCGTCCGAGGCGGGAGTCGCCGCCGCCGCCGCCGCCGCGGCTGTTGTGCCGCCCTCCTCGCTGTCCTCGTCTGCGGCGGTGCCGGTGCCGGTGCCGGCGCCGGTCTCGCGCGTCGCATCCTCCGTCCCCACTCCCGCGCTGTCGGCCTCCCCGCCGATGGACCTGCACCCGGCCGCGCAGGAGCGCATCGCCGCCGAGCCGGCCGGCTCGGCGGTCGCCGCTCAGCCGGCTGCCCAAGCGGCCGCAGCGCCGGCCGTGGCGGACGTCGGCCGGCCGAGCTACGCCGACCCAGACCTCCTGGCCCAGCTGCCGGCTCTGCGCATGGCCCGCGCGCGCGGGTGCACGGTCACCGTCCTGGCGGCCCTGGTCAGCCGGGACCCGTGCGACGTGCTGGCCCTTCTGGCCCCGGACTCGGTACTCGAGCACCTAGATGGCCGGCCCTGCCTCTGGCTGGGGGACACCCTGGCCGAGGCTCTGCAGGCCCTGCCGGTGGCATCGCAGCGCTGAAAAGCCCCCGGCCCTCCCTCTGTTGCTTCTTCTTCTTCTCTCTCTCTCTCTCTCTCTCTCTCGCTCTCCCTCTCTCTTTCCTGGTGATCCCACACGGATGTACCTCCCTTTCTCCCCGCCCTGTGGTTTCCCTTGTCCCGGCCCTGTGCCCCCCTCCCCCCCTCTTCCGTTTCTTGAATATACGCTCATTTCCTTGTCAACGCATGTCCCCCTTCCCCTTGCCAGCGGTGCCGCTGGCGGTGGTTCACCGCATGACGCCACACAAAAGTGGTGCATTTGTTGTCTTTTTTTTTTACTCTTCTCCCCGCCTTGCAGGGGGGGGGGAGGGGGGTGAGGAATCACACCGCCGGGGCGGATGGTCTCACTTGGACCCGGCGCCCTGGGTTTTCCTCCCGCCGGGCGGCCGGTTGGCGGCCGAGGCACGGGCAGGCGCCGAGGCCCGGCCCCCGGCGCCGGCAGCACCCCGGGCTGTGGCGGCCTTGGTTGTGGCCGCCGCGCTCTTCGAGGGGGAGCCGGTCTTCCGGCCGGGCGACGGGGCGCCAGCTTGTGAGGACGCCGTGCCGGCGGCGACCGGGGTTGTGGCGCGACCGGCGCCCTTGGCGCGCGGGGCCCCAGTGGCGGCCTTCACCGGCCGCGCGGCGGTCTCCTCGGCCGGGGGCTTTCGCGCCGGCACACTCTTCGAGGCTGGCACGGTTTTGGATGCCGCCGGCACGGTCTTGGACGCGGGGGCTGCCTTGGCCGTGGGAACGGTCTTGGAGGCGGTGGCCCCCCCGGCACTTGTCGGCCCGGAGCCGGCCTTCTTGCTGACACGTTGGCGCTTCACGCCACCGGAGCCGGCCGGGGCCGCGGCGGTCCGGCCCGGAGCCGGCTCGGTGCCGGCATCGTCACCGGCCGTGTCGCTGCTGCCGGCCGCCGGGGGGTTCTTCCGCACGCCTGTGGACAGGGACCGCGAAGGGGGCCGACACATACGAGGAGGAGGAGGAGGGGGAGGGAGGAGGGGTGGGCCATTCCAGCAGCACCGCGCGAGGTTAGTATCCCGGCACACGGACACCCATGCGCCAGGGGGCTGGCAGGGGGAAAGGGAGGACGGGGCCGGGCGGCGAACCGAGCAAGGGCGGAGGAGGGCACGAGGACACCCGCTCGCTGTGCCCCCCTGCCGAGCGTCTTGGTGACGTACCAGTCCGAGGCTTGGCCCCCGGGGGCGGGGGTGTCCGCTCGACCGGCGCAGCGGCCACCGACAGCAGCCCCGACGATGGGGTCTGCGAGGGCGTGGTAGCGGGGGTCGGCCCCCCGCCGGTGGAGCCCGTGCTCAGGGCACCTGCTTCCGAGCTGGATGGGCTAACTTGGGGAGTAGACGAGGCGGTGTTGGACCCGGAGGCAGAGCGCCCGGTGGCGGGATTAGCCGGACGCCGGCTGGCGCTCCCCCCGGCGCCAGTCCCAGGGGCCGGGGGTTTGCCAGGCCGCGCGGCCGACGCCACGGCCGCTCCGCCACGCTTGCCGGCCGACTTGAGTGCCGAGGCACCGGGCCGACTGGGGACCCCAGCCGAGGGGGTGGGCGTTGGGGCAGGCGCGGGAGCGGGCGCCGGGCCCGGCACGGCCTTCCGAGAGACCGGCGCTTCCGGACCCTCGGCCGGGGCCCGTGGCGATTGCGGCATCTGCGCGTGGCCGCCATGTGCCGAGGCATAGCCCGGTGGAGAGGCCGGCCCCTCGGCCGACGGGCCGGCTTCCATGTTGATCATGTACCCGGCGGCCGCCAGCGGTGACACCGTGGCCACCGGGGCCACTTGCCCCGAGGGCACCAGCTGCCCGAGGACCTGCTTCACCGCGTCGGCCGAGCAGAAGTACGCGCGAACCAGCTGCTCCGGCTCGGTGGGCGGCCCGGTCAGCCGCGCCCCGGCCCACGGGAAGACCGACGGCAGGGACATCAACACCGGGGAGTTGGAGCCATGCGGCTCGGCCGGACCAGATACCGGGGTCGGCCGAACAGCCGCGCCGGCCCCCGGCGCCCGGCTGGCGCAGCGGGATAGCGACACTTCGACCGCATGTGACGAGCTAGCCGACCCCTCCAGACGGTGGGCATTCAGCTGCAGGGATGTCTGTGTTTTTTCGCCATATTTCCCGGCATACGTTAGAGAGCGGAAGAGGAGGAGGAGGAGGGAGAGGAGGAGGGAGAGGGAGAGGGAGAGGAAGTGGGAAAGGAGGAGGGAGAGGGAGGGAGAGGAAGAGAGAGAGAAAGAGAAAGAGAAAGAGAGAGAGAAAGAGAAAGAGAGAGAGAAAGAGAAAGAGAGAGAAAGAGAAAGAGAGAGAGAAAGAGAAAGGGAGAAAAAGAAAGAGAGAGAAAAAGAGAGAGAGAAAGAGAGACAGCAGCACAGGCGATGGTGGGACAAGGGGGAGGGGCGGCGAATGTCCCCGCCTGGAGGCACGAACCTCCCGGTTGGGCTGCGATAGCTTGACCGACTTGCGCAGGGAGAAGCGCAGCGGCTTCCACTCGGGTTGGCCGTCAGCCGGCGGCGTGGCCGACCACGAGGCCAACACCGAATTCAGCGGCAAGCCAAAGGGGAAGGATCGCGAGCCGACGGGATCCGAGTGATGCAAGGGGTGGGCCCCGGGGTCGGTGGACGTGCGCGAGCGCGACTCCAGGAAGTCCAGCAAGAGGGACCCGCCCCCCGGGGGGGCCTGCTGGTCAGGGGAGGGCCGGAGCAAACGTCAGGAAGGCCGAGCAATGCATGGGGGGACCCCCGGCAGGGTGTGGTGATATGTTGCCCAGCCGACCGTGCTCGCACCTTCGGCGGAGTGGGCACCGCGGGGACCATTGTCGGCGGGGGAGCGGCCCTGGCCGGCCCTGATGTGGGGGCCTGCGGGGGAGCCGCCACCACAGGGGCCAGGGGCACGCGGGCCAGGGAGGCCTCGCGCGCATGGTTCACCCCCCGATTGTGTGCGCCTATTGCCGGCGCCACCCAAACCGAGGACAGGGAGGGCAGAGAGATACCCCGGGTCAGTGCATGTGGGCGTGGCCATTCGACGAAGCGACAAGGGTGGGGGATGGGTGCCCCGGACGGGGCAAAGGGCGACGCCGCGCGCACCGATGGTCTCCACCAAGACACGGTCGTCCAGGTCCAAACACAGGCGAGTCATCTGGGGAACGGCGGGCGCGATGGCGGCGGCGGCGGCGGCGGCGGCGGCGGCGGCGGTGGGGATGGCGGTGACGCCCGGCGGCGTGGGCACGCCAAGCAAATCCGGCAACTCGCCGAGATACAGGCGCTGCTCGGCCGCCTGCGCCAGGGCCAGCGGCACCTCGGCCTCGGTGGGCGGCATGGCCGTGGCCGTGGCCGTGGCCGTGGCGGCCGCTGCATGTGCCAGCGCCATACGCCGAACGGTCAGCGGGTGCGGGCGCAAGAGAATGCGCCTGGCAGCGGCAGCGGCGGCGGTGCCCGGCCGGCCGGCCGTCAGCGATGATCGCCCGCCCGGTCGGAAATCCACCACCAGGGCAAACAGGTGCCCATCATAGAAGGGCAGGGCCGGGGCTGGGGGCTGATCGGCCCCGGGAGCTTGGACGCCGGTCGCGGGGAACTCCTCCAGCAGGGTGGGAGGGATGAGCTGAGGCCGAGGGGCGGCGCGCGTTAGAGGAGCCCCGGTGCCTCACGGAGCAGGGCCCGAGCAGATGCATGCATCCATGCCACGACATACCTGCTGATCAATCCAGTCCAGGAGCTCCGTGCACATGGGGTCCGTCCATGACAGCGGGATGCCCCCCTGCGGGTGCATGGTTGCCTCGCGGGCTCGCGCCGGGGTAAGGGCCTCACTCATGGGGAAGACCCGCAGCCGGACCCCCTCGGCGGTCAGAGTCAGGCCCAGGGCCGGAGCAATGTGCTCTGCGATGTTCGGTCGGTCCCACAGCGCGACCTGCATGCGTGTGTGTGTGTGTGTGTGTGTGTGTGTGTGCGTGTGTGTGTGTGCGTGCGTGTGTGTGTGTGTGTGTGTGTGTGTGTGTGTGTCCATGTGTGTGGGTGCGCGCGCGCGTATGAATATCAGCACATGGGCATGTTGAGGCCACGCCGCAAGCCATGACCGGCGCTGGGTGACAGGCCAATGTGCCAAATGTGCGACCACGATCCCATGTAGGTGCGTACCTGGTGCGACAGACTGAAAAGCTGGTCCGGCTGGGCGGGGCGCGTGGCAGTCGTCTTGCCCGGAGACAGGTACTTCTGCATTAGCGCCAGCAAACCCCCAGGTTGAGTGAGGATCTGCATTTGTTGGAGAGTATAGGTGAGTGGAGCTCGTCATGTGCGTGCATGTGTGTGCATGTGTGCGCATGCGCAGGCTCAGGCGCGCAGGCACAGTGCCCGGGAGTACTGACCTGGGCAACATTGCTTTTTGGGGGCGGCCGGGCGGTCCCGGCCGGCGCCGGGACCGATGCCCCCGGGCGACGGGCCTCGAGCTTGTCAGCTGCTGGGGTCCGAGCCGCGCCCGAGGAGGGCCCAAGTTTCTTTTGCGGCACAGGTGCTGACCAGAGGGGGAAAGGGGCGTGTGATCGTGCGCGCGCGCGCGCGTGTGTGTGTGAGATCGGGCCCGCCAGGAGGCCATGCATGGGTGTGGCAAGGGGCAGCTGCGAACCTGAGGACTTGGCGCCGGGTTTGTCAACAACACGATACTTCGGGGGAGACATGGCGGGGCGCTCCCCCTCTGAGGGGCGACGTGCCAGCAGGGTCGCGGGCCGGCAGGGGAGGGGGAAGGGTGGTGGTGCTCCGGGGGAGGAGGAGGGGGGCGGTTCAAAGAGGCAGGGCGGCGCGTCAGGCAGATGCCAGGAGGGCCCCAAGGAGCTGGGCGAGAGGCACGGCGAGGGAGGGAGGGGGGGGGGGGGTGTTGCAAGCCGGGGCCGACATGTGCCGGCAGAGCGGTCCCAGCCGATGTGCCCCCTGGCCGACCGGCCGGCAACCTGCGGCAAGGTGTATCCACCACGGGCGGCCTTTGCAAACGGCCGTACATGTCTCAGGGCTCAAGGGACCGAGAGGGGGAGGAAGAGAGAGAGACAGAGAGAGCGAGAGAGAGGAAGATAATGAAACCGCCTGGCCCGCGGCAGGAAGCACCACCCGCTGGAGCAGCCAGCGGCTAGATCCTCCCGCGGGTGCTTGTGTTGATCGCACACCGGGCAGGAAGAGGGGTGCGTGTGAGCGGGCGAGCGCGCGAACGCGCGCGCGCGCAAAGTTCCCGCCTCCCATGGAAGCGGGAACAGCCAGCGGACATGCGATTAAGGCCAACGGATCGGCATTAACTCAGATGCGTTAATTCTCGCCCTGACGTCCGGGACCCCCAGCACCAAGGAGCGCACATGCGTGCAGCTGTGTGTTGTATTGGTGTGGGCGTGTGTTTGTCGCACATGGAGACATGGGCACACATGCGCGTGGCTCCCCCAAGCGCGCGGAGAGGGGAGGAAAGGGGGAGGGAGGGAGGGAGAGAAAGCAAGGGAGGGGGTCTATACTACAGAGAGAAAGGAGGAGGCACGCGCGGCGGCCAGAGGGAAAAGAGAAAGGAGTGATGGTGGGGCCGAGGAGAGGACGAAGGGGGGGGGGGAGGCGGCAGGAGCCCCCCTCCCCCACGAAAGGGGTCTTACTTCTTGCCCTTCTTCTTCGGCTCCAGAGCCGGATCCATGCCGGAGCTCGGGGTGAAGGCCTTGAAGCTCTTCTTCTCGCGGGTGCGGTACGCCGGCAGGCGGCCGGTACCGCCGTACTCCTGGATGCGGCGGATGGCACGGGCGCTGTGTGTGGGAGAGGGCGTGGTTAGCAGGAGGCCGGAATACGAAGCAATGGCAAGGGGCGGGAGGCAGGGAGAGGGGGAGAGGCGGAGAGAGATAGAGCAAGAGAGGAGCAGAGAGGGATTGCCAAATGCATCACCCCCACTCGCATCGACCCTCTCCACTCCCAGCAGGAGCCCGCTTCCCTCCTTCGCCCCCTTCTCCCACTCTCTCCCCCCCCGAAGTAGGGGGGCACGACGTACGTCTTCTGCACCCGGGGCTCGAGCATCTCACGACGGAACAGCGAGTCCATGCGGTCGGCCAGGAGATGGCCCTCCGGGGCCAGCACACGCAGGGAGGAGGGCAGCTCGTCGGACAGCTTGACATCCGGCACCGGGGCCCGGTAGTTGGCAAGACTCAGGCGCTTGACCGTGTTGCGGTCCTTCTCCAGCTTGTACTGATCCCGAAGGGGGATCAGCTCCAGGGACTGCTTGATCTTCTGGAAGGTGTGCTGCTTGACGCGCTCGAAGTCCCTGTCGGCCGAAAGGGAGGGCGGTGGTGGAAGCACCGAGGAGAGACATGGTCAGAGCACGCACATGGCCCCCCCACGAGAAGGCTATGCCCGGGGAAAACCCAGCACGACATCCGCATCCTTCTGACCCACACAAGGGCACGTACTTGACATTGTTGAGGCGCTTATCCAGCTTCTTCATGGCATGGCGGCGGAGCTGTGCGCGATGGCGAGCAGAGAGGCGTCAGTATCGGGGCGGTCGTCGGGGGAGGTGCCTGACAATGTGTGTGTGTGTGTGTGTGTGTGTGTGTGTGCGCGCATGGATGCGCGTGGTCCTTCTCGATACGTGAGCGTACCATGTCGCGATGGGCCTTAAGACGGTTCTTGTCGCGCCGGGTGCGGCGCAGGTCCAGGGCGGTGGCCTGCTGCTTGGAGGCGGCCGCCTTCAGCGCATCCTCATCGAGGTCGCTGTCATCCTGGTCCTGGTCCTCGTCGGAGCTCTGGGCGCCGGAAGTCTGCGCCTCGGTCGCCTTGGCCTCCTCCTCTTCCTCCTCCTCCTCGCCGTCGGAGTCCGACAGGTGACCTAGAGAGCGCATGATGCCCTTCATGACCGAGTCATCATAGATGGACGCCTGAAGGAGTGGCCAGGTGCGTGTGTCGGGGAAAAAGGAGCGCGCGCGTATGGGGCGTTAGGACTCGATTGCGTGGGAAGGACACAGCGGCGCGGGGACACTGCGCATCGGCGCATCGGTGCGTGCGTGCGTGTGTGTGTGTGTGTGTGTGTGTGTGTGCAGGGCACGTACCTTGCGAATGGCGTCGGCCTCCGCGCTGGACAGGGGAGTGTTGCCGCCGGCGTTCTTGAAGAGCTCCTTCTTGGCAGCCTCGGCAGCCTCGAGGATGAAGGCCTACCAGGTGCGGACCCGGGGGGGGGCTCCAGAGCCGGATCCATGCCGGAGCTCGGGG